CAGGGAAGCGTATTTTTAAGAATGACCTTTACACAGGATTATATGGATTATATTTCGATTCGCATTTCTATTAAATATAAATGACACTCTTGCCAGTATTCTTGTTCGAAACAAAACATTAAAATTTAATCGATTTCTGTCTATTTGAAATTTCATTACGAAACTTCGTATTTTATGGCTGTATTCATTATATAAAAGAATGTACAAATTATAATTGCATTATGGCATGTATCGTTCGAGATTCAAAATATATCTTATTAGGATAAAAATTCAAATTCGATTCCAAAAATTTGTGAACAATCTGTTTTTCTTTGTAAATTAATTTGTTTAATTTTCATTTCGTATGAAAAACTTTGAAATATTACAACAAATAGATATATATTTCTACGTATATTGTTTTTTAGAATTTCGAAGCTTTTTCGAAAATTATAATATTTTATTTTATATTTTTCTGTGTTTCATAAAAAATAAAAATAAACAAAATCAATTTGCAAAAATATAATGTATTTTTTATTTACCTTCCTTTTTATCGATTATTAAAAATTTTTTACGACGAATTTTTAGATCTAATTTCATATTTCAAAAAAAAGAAAAAATTTCGAAATGCATTATATACAAATTCTTTTATAACAAATTTTCAGATCGACGAATTTTTAGATCTAATTTCACATTTTAAAAAAAAGAAAAAAATTTCAAAATGCATTATATACAGATTTTTTATAAATTTATAAATATTTTATAAATTTAGATTTTCAGATCTAACATTTTGTATTTTAATACAAGATACAAATGTTCATAATTGCAAAAGGATTAATATTGCATGAAACTAATGTAATGCAATTACAACAGATATCTATAGATAAATAGATGTTTATTTATTACATTATACATTCAACGTATATTATATGCGCATATTATCATTATAACCATATATATATAGAGACAGAGCTGTTTCTTTCCATTTTGCTTCATTTAACTTAAATTGCTTGCAGCTTAATAAATAAGCCTTAAATTTTGTATCAACTTTTATGTTTGTTTTGAGCTACAGAATCGACCTTTCAAAGATATCCTATGAGCATATAAATAACTTGCATAAATATTTTTGATTTTGAAATTATTTATTATAAATTTGAATTATTTATTATAAAAAATGAACAACAACAAGAAAATTTATAATCTTTTTTTTTTTTAATTTATTCTCCTCAAAATTTAAGAACACAAGTGCACATTTTCACCAAAATTTTAATTGGACGATCAATCGTGTATACAGAGAAATAAATAAATTTTCAAGAGAAATTTTTCGAAATATCCATACGTGCATATCTTTTGAACGTAAATTAAAAACAAAAAAACAAGACGCGATTATTTTTTGAGATTTTTTTGAGATAATTCGAAAATATTATCAAAGCTGTTTAAAACGGATCTAAAAATGTAATCGAGATACGGCAAAACGATATTTATCAAGGAGAAAAGAAAACAGTGGCTAAAGTACATGTTTACGTAGTCTGGCGGCAGTCTGTAGTCGGGAGATAGGGAAATGAAAATGATTACAACGCGAAAATGATTATGATTCTCGATCATAAGGAGTTAAGGTTAAGTAAGTAAGTTTTTTTTATTGAGACAAGAAAAAAGCGTGATTTTATTTTGATTCGCTTAAATTTCCATTATTCTTAATCTTTTCTTAAAAAGCGAAGTGTAAATAAAGAATGTCATAGAAGATGAATTATTCTTTCTGCCGTTGTTTTTTTCTTTCTTTTTATATAAGTTATAAAAAAACAATAAATGGAATAAAAAAAACATTATTGATTAATGTGTCTTAATGCGATTTATTCGATTTTATTATGGAGTCTGATAAACTCAAAAAAATATCATTAAGCTTTATTATCAAAATTATCAATTGTCCAAAAAATATGAGAATGAATTGATTCATTCTCCTTTCAATTTAATGGCAGAAAATGTTTTTTTTATGCGTGAAAGTAATTAATTGAACTGTTGAATATTCATTAAGAAATTTAAAAAAACCTAAGAAATATGTGAAAATCTTAAATAAAAAAATGAAGAGTTGAAAAAATACAAAAATCATTTAGAAAATAAATGGTATCATTCTGTGTAAAAATATTTTCAATAAACATTATCGTCATAAGTTTAAGACGTATTTAACAGATAATAGTATCTAAATCTACGTTTTATCGAGCAACGTTTTTTCATTGCTTAATAAAATGCGACAATGACGTTTCTTGAACATTAATAATAATAAATATAATAAATATAATAATTATTATACATAATGCTCATGACCTTAGAACATGGAGTCAAGATAATTGCGAGTGCAAAGTTGCATCAAGATATAATTATAAAATAAGCGAGAATGAAAACAATTAATCGTGCAACAAAATTCAAGCAAAATAGATAATTTAGTAGAGAAATGAAAATTCAAAATTAATTTAAGAGAAAGAAAAATATAATTATCGAAATAATTGTTCTATTTATTTTTATAGCTTAATGATAACGACAACTGCTTCACTTTCACAAGTGATGTAGTCAACAATGAATACAGGATATAATATATCTTTGTGGTAATCAGGGAGACAAGCGTGGTATGATTAGAGACAGATTTCAAACACAGATTGTATAAAGAATCTGATGAAGCCATTCATAAATAACGAACCAGTGATGATAATAAAAAATCCAACGTGTTGAATTAATAAGCAATATTTTTCAGATTTATTCGACGATGAAGAAGAACTCATGGGCTAATTTTACTACAATTTTGTTCATAATAAAATAGCATTTAAAGAGAGGTTAATTATATTTAATAAATTCTGGCATTATCTTCGTCCAAAGAATTATCTGACAGATTTATTTATACATATTTATGAATTTTATGTGTACACAAGTTAATTAAAAATTGGAATTTGATGGGATATATTCCTTTTAATTGAATTCCATACTCTTCGGAGAAAGAAAATTAGTTGATCAAAATTGAAAAAAATAAAATTTAATAGGATACATTTTTTTTTTAATTTCGTTCCATTACATCTTCGTAGGAGTAAAATTCAATATCAAAAATCAATATGTAGCTTGATGATGGAACTGTATATGGCCTTTTCTTTTTTATTGAGTGGGTGGTGATAGAAATTGTTTATCTTCATGCTCGAAGATGATGTTTCAAGAAAATGGAGCACATTCTATTAGAAATGTGTACATTGTTTAAATTTAGAATAAATATTCTTCTAATCGATGGACTGGACAGTAAACCTAAAGATTGTATAAATATCAACATCTTTATATTTTTTTTTCGATTTTTTTGCTTGAAATTTTATCAAATTTTACACAAAAATTTCTTGATTTGATTTTTTTTTTACTTATATATGAAATGTTAATTATAATAATTAAAACATTCTTTTTTGACATCATTTCCTTGAACTTTTAACTTTCTTTTGTTAATTTTTATAAAATAAATAAGGACTTTATCACTATAAGAAAATATCAAAAGAATAGATTTGTTCTTTTATTTTTATTTATTATATTCAAATTTAATACTGTTTTAAGAATAATTTTCCATAAGAATTTTTAAAATAAAATTGAAATTCGTTTATAATATTTTTCTAAATATCTAATTCAGTTTTGATAAAATATTTCTTTCATATTTGTATGAATTCTTGGATGTAGTTCAAACAAAAAATATATTAATAGGATAATAATATTGGAAATAAAAAAGTAAGATAAATAAATATTAAATCTTCCGAAGAAATAAAAATTGTAAAGACGAAAAATAAAAACGTGACATTTTTTTTTCAAACTCGATTGGAATTTTATTTTAACGACAAAGAAAAAAAAAGAAAGAAAATGTCATTAAACAATCACTTTTTATTGTGTACTCAAAATTTATAATAAATAAACATCGAGAATTATCAAAAGATTCGTGAAAAGAGACGTCAAAAGAAATTTACGATTTCCTTAATTATTCATGAAACGTTTATCTTCCTCCGCGCAAAATAATTTAAAATTCTCGCGTTCAATGTAACTCCTGGATCCCTAGGGTGCCATTAGTCACGGTACGCTAATAATCACGGCCGCAATTCGATCAGACGCGTTATTTGGTGCCCTGAAGCATGACTCGAGCAGAAATACCATATTCGAGTAGAATGGAAAATTATGTAAGCAAAAAATCTTCTCTTTCATAAGATATTCGATTTACATGTGCACGTGTTACATATACGTTTAACTATTCATATTATTCTTGAAGGATTGCGAATCAATTCGAGAATAAAATATCTATCAAGAATCGGTACGAACAAAAATTATTTTTGACGAGTGGACGCCACTTTGAAGTTGTGAAAGTTACATTCATTATAGTTATATTATTTTCCAGTGACCATTTGCAAAAAAGTGATTCTTAGGAATCTTTTACCATCAAATGTTTTCGAATGAAATTAAATATCAACCGATCGTAGACCTTTGTTTTCAGCATCGATTACACGTAATCAATCATCAGAAATGCACAATAAAAAGAAAGAAAAAATAGAATAATAAAGAATGGAAAATATCGTACAACGAAATACAGTTTTACTCATTTAGTGCAGAATCTAATTTTGTAGCACTATCTTTGTTCAACCTACTGCAAATGAATAGTAGTTATTACTACGCGAGTACTATCATTTGTTTCAACGATTCAAAGAAAATCACTAACGACAAACCAACAGGAGAATACAACAAGAATGCAACAAACAGAATCGCGATCCTTTAGTATATTCTACGATAGATACCCACCACATGTAAATCACTCGTGAAAGAATAAAGCACATATAATATTGGATATGCAAATTCTCTGTGAAAAAGAGTTGAAATTATCATTTAAATTAATTGAAAGAAACTCGTCGATATTTTCTATTATTACGACAAGTCCACGTGTCTGTCACCGATGATCAAGGCGAGAGAGAGAATTTTTCCAATGAATGAGAAGTGAAAAATAAACGGACAATCATTGAAAATCTTACCTGACCGAGCCTGAAGTGACCAAAAATGGCATTGGTGTTGGGCATGGGCTCAATGGTGAACTGCTCACTGAACTGCGAGTGCTGCTCAACACCGAGTGTGGACATTGCGGGGGACCAACGTGTCCGCCAGAGGATGCGCTCCCTTTGCTCGAGGAACGACCTTTTAGACAAGGAATTTTCGACCAGCCGCTAACATTCTTTCCCGACAATCCTGTGAACGAATATATATGCTGTTATTATCACATTATGAATTTCACATTACACGTAATTTATTTGTTGGATTAATATATTGATTTAAATTTTGAAAATTTTCACCAATTATACATTTTGATGAAAGGTTACATTAATAGGTTCCATTAATAAAATTATCTTGTAACAAGTGTTTAAATGTTATAATATAAATTATATATAAATTATTGTAATTAAGAATTGATAAATGAAATTATATTTCTATCTTAATTAAATACATTATTAATTTTGTTTAAAATATCTTCATGTGTAATTGGAGAACACAACAAAATCTGAAATTCAATCAAATTGGCGAGTTTTATATATATTTTTGTTTCTAGAAGTGGAATGAAGTAGCAGATATTTTTAATTCTAGTTTATTGACTCGTAAGTATATTTGATAGAAGTACATGAATATAATTTTTGAAAATGTTTTAATTTAAATCTTGAAATATATGAAAATTGAAACATAAATTTGTAAAATGTATTAAATGAAATATTATATTTCATTATTATTATATTGGTAAATAAAATGAAATTATTAATTTTAAGGACAATAATTATTAATTAATTTAAATAACATTTGAAACAATATAATAATAAGCAAGTTGCGCAAACAGATTTAATATATAATCAAATTTTCATTGATAATTAAATTTCCAATTTCGTACTTATCAATTAATTCAATTTCTCGAAATAATTTATTATTATTATTGCTAAACATTTCAAACATTCTTGATATCTACAATCTTTAAAAACGAATTCTTGATATTCCTCTTTCACTTATTCTTTCTCAAAATTATACTACACACAATTATACTAATGAATATTAATTAATAGAATTTTATCTCTATTTAATTACAAATCAATTTCTATTCTTTTACCAACGATATATATATATTGATACACATTGAGAAAAATCCTGTACTTTTTCCAATAATCCATTTTATTATTTAATTTCACTCTAAAAAAAAAAAAATTAGAATTCGCCCCCAAAAATTCGAATTATTATTCCGAATACGTAAATCATATTCATATGGAGGTCGAAAATCGAACAAAAATCTCGCATAAAAAACATCGAAAATGCAAATTCGAATCACTACCTGCGTCACAAAGTATATAATCATCGCATACACGTTCTATTTGCACGCTCTGGATAATTTCCACCGGTCCATAAATTATTCATAAAAAGTATATCACGTTAATTTTACAATATCGCTCATGTTGTGCTTGTTAATAAAAAACCATTCGATTGCAAATTTTTTTTCCACTTTGGACTCGACATTACGAAGGTAACGCACGCCACGTAACCTTGACCATAGAAGGTCGAAGGTTTCCGCCTGACGTGAAGTACAAAATGGTGGGGTGAACGATAGCTTTGTGGAGTGGGTTGCTCGCAGCGCCGCGAAAGCTGTACTTATCGCCAACAAAGGCCAAGCCTTTCGTGTAACCCAGATGCGGAGGATTCGAGCTTAAATGGCGGTTTGTTTCGTTTTTTTCAGCGCGGCTGGAAAAATTTTAATTATTCGGATATGGGACGTAAATTACCCTAATTTTCATCGCTTGTATTTGCTGGATTAATTTTTTGGGATATTTTATTGACATTATTGTCGTTTGTATAACAGTGTATAATTTTAATTGATAATATATTTTTTTTATAAAAATATGAGTAATATCGTAAAACTTAATAAACAGAGAATTGTTTGTTGTAAATTTTTAGAATAAAATCAAATTATAATTATGCGATTTTGATGAAGAAATGATTAATATTATAAAATCGAAAAATATTTTTTTCTATTTTATTATAATAATACTTGTAATAGTACTACTTCATGTACAGAAAAGCTATTAAGATAAAAAAATCTTTGAAAATATAGTTCAAAAGAACTAATATTAAGAAAATTTTTTTATTACATTTTGTATTTTTTTTTTCTATTATATGTATAAGTAAATATTATTCCATTGAAATTATATTTTTAAACTGACATTATTTATAAGATCTAATAACGACCTACATATGAGATTTGAGAGAAAGAAAGAAAGAAAATCCACCCAGAGAAGATCATCTTGAATGGAAACTTCAAATAATAAACAAAAGTAAGACTCTGTGGAGCCATGACGAGAATCAGATCTAACATTCGAATTTATCTTATAAATGAAGAGCATTCAGTTACAAAATACTTCAATATTCACATACAGAATGTTGTGATTTTTAGATTCCAAAATTCATTAGAATAGTCTAAGTCTACAAATATTTTTAAAATTATTAATCAATTTCACTTTTATTTAAAAATTTTATTCTTTTTTTTTAAATTTTTTCAAACGAGCAATCACTCTTCATCTCGAATAACAAAATACCCTATATAAGATCCAAATATATTTCAAAGGAATATACTAAACTCGTTATTATTTTTTAAACTATCTTTTTCGTATAAAATATACATCGATATACATCGTTATTAAAATGTTTATGCATTTATTTAAATTTAATAAAAAAATACTATAATATGCAAAAGAACACAAAATATATTATTTTATATTTATATTCGTCAAAATTTTAATTTGTAATAATAAACATCCAATCTAATCATCACATTCTATATTATAACGCTCAAAATCCATTATGGCTGTTTTCGATCCTTCGTAAGAAGTTTCAAGCGCAAAAAAGGGAAGGAAACGATGGACAATAAGTCGATATCGGTGCACAATAAAGGTCGAGCAGATACGTTTAAACTTACGTGTATTGAAAAAGTACTCGGCTGAAATTCTCGTTTCAGGATTTTGTCGATACAAACAAAACCGAGGCGTATCGATCTACCGTCGTTTTTCCTCGTTCAACCTTCTATATCTCAATAAGTTCGTTTTATTACGGAATTGGCAACTGCGATTGGATCTATCTCGGATCAACCTCGGTTCAGTTCAATACTACAATGCTCGCTTATTATCGTCTTTCCACGGATCTTGTAAAATGAAACTTTAATTCTTACTTTTCAAGAGTATTGGAATAGATTTTTGAAATAGATATTTCGTCGTATAGACTAATTTCAGCATTGCATTAAAATTTCGATGTTTAGTATGAATGTGTAATGTATTTTCATTTTAATTAACGATAGATCTAATATTCTTGTAATTTATTTCAGCTTGGAAAATAGATTTTTGAAATAAATGAAATAAATATACATATATATCTATTTCTTCCAATAATATAGGATTTTGCAAATAAACTTTTTGTTTTTTAAATAGCATTTATGTAAAGAAATAGTATTATAAATATTGTAATTTATGCAAATATATAGATATTAAAAAAATAATATTTCAAATAATAATATAGAATATAGTATATTTTGGATTAAAAATTTTAAATATAGGTAAATAAATTCCTTTTACAGATTTTTCATAAAATTTTTTGCAATATTTTTCGCTTTGAGAAATATTTTTTCGATTATATGAATAATCGATTGCGTATAACAAATTTTGTTATAAATTATTCATACCTTTTTTATTGCGCTGTATTTCACGTTATAAATACGTAATAAAATATAATAATATTCATTATATAATATAAAAACATAAATATATTTTACATATTTCTAATAAACTTATTTTGCAAATATATAAAAATTGTTTCAAAATAATTTCTCTACACAAAATTTAAATAATGATTATAAAAATTAAGACAAACGAAAATTAGTAAAAAATTACTATTAAAACTTATTCTTTAAGCAACTTAATCTTGCAATTTGACTAAATAAAACCAAGAGCCAATGATAAACAAAGAATAATGATAGAGTTATCTCACTCTATCCTCGTCACACTTTATCTCTGTCTCATTTCGTCTAACGAAAAATTGCTCGCAACTTGAAAAGCTGCATAACATTTTTATATATCAATTCTCGTGTTTATTTTAGTTTCTTCTTTATTCGAATCTTTTTATATAATACAAATTTTCATAAAAATTATTTCAACAATAATAAAAATGATTATATGATAATAGATAATTATAAATATATAAATAATAATGTAAAAATTGTAATTATCATCACATCTGATGATTATCCATCTATCAGTTTCAATTATTTTATCTATTAATGATTACTCAATGATTGGTTAATAGTTATTGAATAATCGAATGTTGAACTCGTGTTTTTAATTACAGTCATTAATCATTAATCAAATTATTAATTAATCAAATATATTTTTGACAAATTGTTGAATGATTTATAAATGCATTATCAGAAGAATTCTAGTTCTTAAAAAGCGATCAGATGTTTTTAATGTATTCATATATTAAAAGCAAACCTGGCCTACTTGCATTCACATCGCTTCTGTTGTATTAATCGCCTTTTCTTCGCGTTCCTTTCCTGCATCGCGGTTTATCCGCAATGAAATGGACGCTTGCCTTTTGCAACAAGCTTTAGAAAGAAAAATTATTAATTTGCACATAATATGTTAATGCTTACCATATATTAATGCTTGACGTAATTATGCAAATGTAAAGGAGAATAAAGATGAGAGGAATATAATTTTGTGAGCTTAGAAATTTTTAAAATTTAAATTAGAAAACTTGAAGCAAGCATAAGAAGGAGTATAAAGAAAAATTCTTGAAATTTTTACTTTCTTTTTAAAATTAAAATGCGTTTATACACGTTTTTAGAAGCTAAAAACAAACACAGAATGTCGATTTAGATTTTTTTGTTAAGTTTGCATTAGATGAAACGAGATGGAATGTATTTCCTTTGATTTGATAGAATCGATCCTCCAAAATTATTCCAATAAATTAACATCTTATATGCATTTATCTATTTAATGAATAAATAAGATGTAATATTATAAAACACATATATCCATCAAGTGTTTTGCTTTTCTATCAATCTATAATCTTAATCTATAAAAGAATTTTCACATCAATCTATAATCTTCAAACAAGTTGAAATAAAGTTAAAGTAAAATAAATAATCAACAAGCTAACAAGTGATATAGAAA